TCTAACTTCTGAGTGTTTTGGCGCTGAATTAGCCTACTTCACGGCGCATAGAACTACATCAGTGCATCAGCGTATCAGTGTTTTCAGGCGTCCACATGGTGCCGGATCAGGTCCGTACTCAAGCTGGCGGCTCCAGAGACGGAACGATCTTAAGTCAGATTAGTGTGGACGAACAAAGCACCTGCAATGAAAATTACTTGAATACGTACTAGTGTGGACGGGGCCATAGGTGCAAATTTGGAGTTGACTTCCATATCTGGAATTCAAACTGCGAGTATCGTTAGCACCAAAGAGCCAATCCAGAGCGAGACTGTTGAAGGCCACGCCCCTTCCTGCTCGTCACACTGGTTTGGCAGGGGCGGGGGCTCTTAGTAACGCTGTCAATCAAACCTGTTGCAAACTCTAGCGGGAGTGACCTCTGGTAAAGAAGGCACCTGATTTGTACGTTATTAATGTTCATATTTTGATTTATGGACAAAATAGAGAAATAAAAATACTACGATCATGAAGAGCAGGTTAATCCGAACATTTTAAGACAATGTAATGTCAACTGGAGTCAGAATCGATGGAGCTGGAAGCGCCCCCATGCTCACTTCCTATTTGGAACACTTCCTATTTGTTCTATTCCTATTTGGAGCTTCTTTCACCATCCAAATATGACCATGTATGTGATATTTAAAAATGGTAATTGGCTAATATAGGCTATTATTTATAGTATCTCTCATTAGGCCTGTCGTGTTGTCAGTTTTTCTTGTGTAAACCCAACTTACGTCCAAAAAACTGCTGAGTGACTCTTTCCATCACGTCCGTAACCTGTAACACAAAAAAGAGAAGCAAAAAGAAGTGCTTATGAAACTGCAAAATTCTTACAGTTTTTTATTTCAGTCATTTCATTTGGTGGGAACAGTGTGTGACCATGTGATGTAGACCTAGACTCGATTAGATTAAAACATCTTCTTCACTCGACTGTCTTTTGTTTTCAGTTACTTTTTCTGTGGCAAAATAGATAGAGTTTATAATAGCTGCACAGTGACACTCAAGAGGAACACGCCCAAACACAAAAGCCTAGAATTAGAAAAGGCTAAAGGCTCAGTAGATCCTCTTTCTAACATGACACATTCACAAGAAAATAAAAAAATACTCAAGTAAAAGCAGTAGTGGAAGAAGAACTAGCTTTTGTTACATAAGTAAAAGTACAGATACCAGAGCAAAAAAGGAAAGAAATGCGAATAAAAATAAATAAAAAGTAAAAGTATCACATGAAAAATCTACTAAAGTAAAAGTATTAAAGTAGTATGTACTTAAAGAGTACTACACTACACTTTCAAATGCAGTTATTTTGATAAAGATTTGTCCTAAATTTTGCTCAACAGAAACAACTGAATCAGCAGTTTTTGTCAAGCTGTTTTTATTTGTATATTATCTTTTTTTTTTTTTTTTTTTTGCTCAAATTATGAATGTGTTGAAAATAAACCCTCAGCCTTTTCAGCAGGTCCCAGACAATAATAAAAATACTTTTACTTTTCAGTCCAGTTAAAAAATGTAGTGGAGTAGAAAGTACACATACCTGCTCTCAAATGTAGTGAAGTAAAACTAAAAATAATCCACTTTAAAATGTACCTAAAGTGCGTTTGACAGGGTTTGATGATTCTCTAATTTTTACTTAATTTGGTGGGATAATACCTGTTGTAAATATAAATGATCATTTTACTCCAATCAAGAAGCAATTTGTGAAGAAAAGTTGAAAATTGTGTTGAAAATTACACGAAGTAGAGAATTCTATTTTAGAAAGTCCCATACTATTGAAAAATTTGGCACAATTTACACACAAGAAACACAATTTTCTGATATTTTAATCATGATTTCAACAAAATAAAGTTGTTTTCTCATCATTTTATTTGTCTAATCATCATTTTGACCTACTGTACTGCATTATTGATAGGTAACATTTGAAAATTTTCTAGTGAGATGTCATAATTTGAAACCTAAAGAATGCCAAACTGTGAATAAAATGTTTTATGAAATCTTAAATGTAATGTTTGATCTTGACCGTGTTTTAGTAAAATGAGTAGGTCAGCCTGACATGGGCACTTTAAGTACAGTACAGATACCTAAAATGTATACTTGAGTACAGTACTTTAATACTTTTACTTCTTCAAGGTCCACCACTGGTCACATGTAAGAAAAAGTTGGGTTTCAGATTTCATCACAACATTTAATAGGTCGATATTTGTTAATACAGATGGGGAAAGATAAAATGAATGTTGTTCAAATACAGATTTTCGTTACAATATTGAATGATCTTGGGTCTAGTCAATGATAAAAATGACAAGGTTCCATATTTGGGAATTTACCTTTTTGATATTTCACGCCAAAGTACAGGAAAAACTGCCTCTTGCCAAACAGGGTTTCTGTCTTGACGGCTTATCTGAGGCAGCTTTAATGATCTGCACTATTTAACTTTGGCGTGTCTTTCATCTCTTGTCCTGATTATCTCTACAATTTGCCATTTAACTAATCTGTTACACACTTATTCAATTACGGGTGTCTGTGTAATCCCTCAGTCGTCCAGGTATGAGCCGCAGCAAAAGAAAAAATCCATTCTATAACTGGACAAAAGATTTAGAATTGATTGCCCTAGTAAAAAGTACAGATAACTATGACGAATATGAGTAATAAAATAAAACTGATAAAACCGTGTCTTTTCTTTGGCTATGACTTTATTCTTGCAAAATAACAACTTTAATGTGGAAATATTATGACACATTTTAAATTTTAAAACATATGACGCTATATACCTGCTCTCAAAACTAGTGAAGTAAAAGTAAAAAGAATCCATGGTAAAATCTACTTAAGTGAAGTACAGATACTGATAAAAACTGATAAAACAGCGTCTTTTGTCTTTTCTTTGGCTATGACTTTATTCTCGTAACATAACAACTTAAATGTAGAAATTTTTTTTTTTAAACATGACTCTTATGCTCCGCTGTATATACCTCCTCTCAAAAGTAGTGAAGTAAAAGTAAAAAGTATCCACGGTAAAATCTACTTAAAATCTACTTAAATAAAGTACAGATACTGACAAAAATGGATAAAACCATGTCTTTTCTTTGGCTATGACTTTATTCTTGTAAAATTACGACTTTAATGTGGAAGTGTTATGACTTTATTCATGTATTTTTTTATTCATGCTTTTTTTTTTTTTTTTTTTACATGGCCCTTATAGTCCTCCGTATGTACCTGCTCTCAAATGTAGTGAAGTAAAAGTACGTAAGTAAAAGTATCTACAGTAACGTCTACTTAAGTAAAGTAAAGATAGAGACAAAAACTGACGTGTAAACCTCGTCTTATAACAACTCAAAACAACAACTTTAATGTGGAAATGTTACGACTTTATTCTTGTAGCGAACGCATTTTATTTTATTTTTTTTACATGACCCTTATACTCTGCCGTATATACCTGTCATCAAATGTAGTGAAGTAAAAGTAAAAAGTATCCACTGTAACATCTACTCAAGTAAAGTACAGATACTGATAAAAACTGATAAAAGCATGTCTGTACTTTGGCTATGACTTTATTCTCATAAAATTATGACTTTAATGTCGAAATGTTATGACTTTATTCTTGAACGAGCACTTTTTTTTTTAAACATGACCCTTATACTCTTCTGTATATATCTGCTCTCAAAAGTAGTGAAGTAAAAGTAAAAAGTATTCACAGTAATATCTACTTAAGGAAAGCACAGATACTGATAAAAAAAAAAGTCTTATATCAACTTAAAATAACAACTTTAATGTGGAAATGTTACGACTTTATTCTTGTAGCAAACACGTTTTTTTGTTTGTTTTGTTAACATGACCCTTATACTCCGCCGTATATACCTGCTCTCAAATGTAGTGAAGTAAAAGTAAAGTAAAAGTAAAAAGTATCCACAGTAACATGTACTTAAGTAAAGTACAGATACTGATAAAACCTCGTGTTTTCTTTAGAAAATGACTTTATTCTCGTAAAATAACAACTTTAATGCCAAAATATTACAACTTTATTCTTGTTTTTTTTTTTTTTTTAACATGACGATTATACTCCACCGTACATACCTGCTCTCAAAAGTAATGAAGTAAAAGTAAAAAGAATCCATGGTAAAATCTACTTAAGTAAAGTACAGATAGTTATAAAAAACTGATAAAACTGCTTCTTATAATTTATATCTTATCATCTTATAACTTTAATGTGGAAATGTTATGACTTCATTCTTGTAGTGAACACATTTTTTTTAAACATGACTCTTATACTCCGCTGTATGTACCTGCTCTTAAAAGTAGTAAAGTAAAAGTAAAGTAAAAGTAAAAAGTATCGACAGTAACATGTACTGTACTTACAACAAAAACTTATGTACAAAAACCACATCTTTTCTATGACTTTTTTCCTGTAACATAACAACTTTAATGCCAAAATATTACAACTTTATTCTTGTTTTTTTTTTTTTTTTTAACATGACCATTATACTCCACCGTACATACCTGCTCTCAAAAATAATGTAAAAGTAAAAGTAAAAATAATCCACGGTTTAATCTACTTAAGTAAAGTACAGATACTGATAAAACCTGATAAAACTGCGTCTTATAACTTATATCTTATCATCTTATAACTTTAATGTGGAAATGTTACGACTTTATTGTTGTAGTGAACACATTTTTTTTTTTTTTTTTTTTTACATGACTCTCATACTCCACCGTACATATCTGCTCTCAAACGCAGTGAACTAAAAGTAAAAAGTATCTACTGTAAAATCTACTCTAGTAAAGTGCAGATACCTAAATTGTTGACTAAAGCACAGTCTTTTTGTACTTTCACTTAGTTACATTCCATCAGTGGTGCAAACTGCGCGTAGGAGCGGACGCATCGCGCTGGTGGTGAGAAGGCGGAGGGCAGATGAGGAGAGGAGGGGCGAGTGTGGCCTGCGCTGGGGGGAATCGAGCTCAAACTTCCCTGAATGACGCGCTTGGCCGACGCTGCTCCTCCCCGTTAGCGCAACTTTTTCACTTCTACAACTCGCGCCGATGTCTCGACACTTTTACCACTGTATTAAACGATTAACAACGCGCGAGGACCAAAGTTACGTTTCGGACATGAAAGTTGTGACCGGGTAGAGTCGACATCTTCCCCCCAAACACTTCAACATGAAAGCGCTGCAGGGGTTCACGGTGTGGACGGTGGTGGTCTTCTGCTGTCTTTTTGAGGTAAGATAAGAAAAATTCGTGCAACTTTAAGCAAACACAAGCTCTGTATTTTAACAAGAAACATTAAAACTGAAAAAAACTGTTTACTAAATAGACGCACGGACGTGAGTAGTGGTTACGCACCTGTTGCGCAGGTAACGTGCCCCTGACTCCGCTGAAAGTCACTACAAGTCACTTTTAGTTGGACAAAACATCGACTAGATTGAGTTAAAGCTGCAGTTTCGTGTCATTTTTCATCTGCAGGGTCCGTCACCTGCTTGTTTCTACTTATGTGTCATAATTGCTAAGCCTGGAATGTTCCACAGTATGACTTTAAACAGCTCTACGTTACATTTATTCAATTACAAGTGGTTTTATTGCTCAGAAACACCAAGAAAAACAGGTATGTTCACTGTGAGCGGTGTCGCCTCTCCACAGATCTGACCTGTAACTTGGTCTGGTTTGGTCTCCATGAAGATAGAAAGGTGTAATACCATAATTTTAAACACTCCAGACAAAGAAAAGAAAAGCATTTGAAGGACTCTCATGTCGTAGTCTTGGTTTAGTCTTGGTTTAGTTCTGTTTTAGTCCTGATCTAGTCTTGGTTTAGTTTGGTTTTAGTCTTGATCTAGTCTTGGTATAGTTTGGTTTTAGTCCTGATCTAGTCTTGGTTTAGTTCTGTTTTAGTCTTGATCTAGTCTTGGTTTAGTTCGGTTTTAGTCCTGATCTAGTCTTGGTTTAGTTCTGTTTTAGTCCTGATCTAGTCTTGGTTTAGTTCTGTTTTAGTCCTGATCTAGTCTTGGTTTAGTTCAGTTTTAGTCCTGATCTAGTCTTGGTTTAGTTCTGTTTTAGTCCTGATCTAGTCTTGGTTTAGTTCTGTTTTAGTCCTGATCTAGTCTTGGTTTAGTTCTGTTTTAGTCCTGATCTAGTCTTGGTTTAGTTCTGTTTTAGTCCTGATCTAGTCTTGGTTTGTCCTGGTCTTGTCCTGATCTAGTCTTGGTTTGTCCTGGTCTCATTCTGGTCTTGTCCTGATCTAGTCTTGGTTTGTCCTGGTCTTGTCCTGGTCTGGTCTTGGTTTGTCCTGGTCTTGTCCTGGTCTAGTCTTGGTTTGTCCTGGTCTCGTCTTGGTTTGTCCTGGTCTCGTCTTGGTCTCGTCTTGGTTTGTCCTGGTCTCATCCTGGTCTTGTCCTGATCTAGTCTTGGTTTGTCCTGGTCTTGTCCTGGTCTAGTCTTGGTTTGTCCTAGTTTCGTCCTGGTCTAATCTTGGTTTATCCTGGTCTTGTCCTGGTCTCGTCTTGGTTTGTCCTGGTCTCGTCTTGGTCTCATCTTGGTTTATCTTGGTCTTGTCCTGGTCTAGTCTTGGTTTGTCCTGGTCTTGTCCTGGTCTAGTCTTGGTTTGTCCTGGTTTCATCCTGGTCTCGTCTTGGTTTGTCCTGGTCTCGTCTTGGTCTCGTCTTGGTTTGTCCTGGTCTCGTCTGGTCTGGTTTTGGTTTATCCTGGTCTTGTCCTGGTCTAGTCTTGGTTTGTCCTGGTTTCATCCTGGTCTCGTCTTGGTTTGTCCTGGTCTCGTCTTGGTCTCATCTTGGTTTATCTTGATCTCGTCCTGGTCTAGTTTTGGTTTGTCCTGGTCTCATCTTGGTCTAGTCTTGGTTTAGTTCTGGGTTTAATCACACATTTAATACAATAATAATACCACTCCAGACAAAGCAAAGAAAACCATTTGACGGACTCTCCACAAGAAAAGTTACACAATGCGCCTTTAAATTGTGCACAATGTTATCTGGACCACTCACTGTTGTTTAATTTAACAATGGTTATAGAAGCGTAATGTGCACTAAACCAAATATTGAAATAAATTAAAACAAATTTCAGTCTTGGTTCAGTTTCACATTGGCCCAGTAAGATAAAAAAAAGGCTTGTAAATGTATTTTTTATTTTTCTAACATTATGTAAAAAGCAAAAACTCCTTAATTGTAAACTATTATTTAATATTTTTGACTCTTCATTCGTCAATTTTACAGTTATATTTAGATCATTTTGGTCTATATATTTGTTTTTTAATCAATTATCATTAGTAAAAAATAATAATAGCGATAATAATTCTTAAAGGTGCACTGCGTAACTTTTCTGGTTCTAGTATGACTTAAAATTTGATTACACTTGCATTCTTTCACTGAGAGGGCGTGCCTCTCCGCAGATCTGACCTGTAACTTGGCCTGCTGACCTCATTTGCTTGTCTTGACGGAGAAAGCTGTTTGTTTAAGTTATGATATTTCTTGATCTATTGTGTAGTTATTATAATGTTGTTTCCTGTTTTGTTTCATTCATGATTTGGTCCCATTCTAGTCCTGGTTTAGTCTTGGTTTAGTTCTGTTCTAGTCCTGGTTTAGTCTTGGTTTAGTTCTGTTCTAGTCCTGGTTTAGTCTTGATCTAGTCTTGGTTTAGTTCTGGGTTTAGTCACACATTTCTAGTCCTGGTTTAGTCTTGGTCTAGTCTTGGTTGATCTTGTTTTAGTCCTGGTTTAGTCCTGATCTAGTTTTGGTTTAATTCCGTTCAAGTCCTGGTTAAGTCTTGGTCTAGTCTTGGTTTAGTTCCGATTCTTGTTCTGGTCAAGTGTTTGTCAAGTCTTGGTTTATTCCCATTCTAGTCTTGGTCTAGTCTTGGTTTAGTTCTGTTCTAGTCCTTGGTTTAGTCTTGGTCTAGTCTGGATCTAGTCCTGGTTTAGTCTTGGTCTAGTCCTCTTTCAGGCTTGATCTAGTCCTGGTTGGGCCTTGGTCTCATCTTGGTTTGATCCCATTCTAGTCTTGGTTTAGTCTTGGTTTAGTTCTATTCTAGTCATGGTTTAGTCTTGATCTAGTCCTGGTTTAGTCCTGGTTTAGTCTTGGTTTAATTCCGTTCCGTTCTAGTCCTTGATGTAGTCTTTGTCTAGTCTTGGTTTGGTCACATTTTAGACCAGGTTAACTCTCAATTTAGTCATGGTCTAGTCCTGGTGTAGTCTTGATCTAGTCCTGGTTGAGTCTTGGTCTAGTCCTGGTTTAAGTTTAGTCTTGGTCTAGTCTTGGTTTAGTCCCCTTATTGTCCTGGTCAAGTCTTTGTCTAGTCTTGGTTTGGTCACATTTCAGACTGGGTTAAGTCCCGATTTAGTCATGGTCTATTCCTGGTTTAGTCTTGGTCTAGTCCTGGTGCAGTCTTGATCTAGTCCTGGTTGGATCTTGGTCTAGTCCTGGTTTAGTTCTGTTCTCGTCTTGGTTTAGTCTTGATCTAGTATTGATCTAGTCTTAGTTTGGTCCCATTCTAGTCTTGGTCTAGTTTAGGACCTTTAACCATTTCAGTTTCACTCTTATTTTCACGGTTAACCATTTTAACCCCGTGTAATCCACTTTTTTTTTTGCAAATCTTGACTGACGCCGAGTCGACTCCGCTTGTCCAGGTCAGCGAACGTGACCCGAGCCTCATTGTGAAACGTGTTAACTATGCGTCTCCTTGAAGCGAGCGTGTTTGGCAGATAAACCCCGGCCCCCGGCTCCTCACACACCTGTCCCGGTCCCACTGGTCGGGCTGGAGTCGGACGCAGAGCGAGAGGTCCAGAGGTTGAGAATGGCATGTGTGGATGTGTGTGGCCGCTACAAAAGGGTCACGATTGGAATGAGGAGCAGCGCAGTGTCCCCGTCCCTCCTCTGTCACTGGTTAAACTGTCTCCACAGCTAATCAGTGCTTTTATGAGCCTTTGTGTGTTTTGTGGTTTGTGTTTAGACCTGGTTTAGACCTGGTTTAGTCCTGTTTTAGTCCTGGTTAAGACCTGTTTTAGTCCTGGTTAAGACCTGGTTTAGTCCTAGTTAAGACCTGGTTTAGTCCTGGTTTAGTCTAAGGTTAGGCCTGGTTAAGACCTGGTTTAGTCCTGGTTTAGACCTGGTTCAGCTCTGGTTTAGTCCTGGTTTAAACCTGGTTTAGACCTGGTTTAGACTAAGTTTAAGGCCTGGTTTAGACCTGGTTTAGACCTGGTTTAGTCTAAGTTTAGGCCTGGTTTAGACCTGGTTTAGTCCTGGTTTAGACCTGGTTTAGACCTGGTTTAGGCCTGGTTTAGACCTGGTTTAGACCTGGTTTAGTCTAAGTTTAGTCCTGGTTTAGACCTGGTTTAGACCTAGTTTAGTCTAAGTTTAGGCCTGGTTTAGTCCTGGTTTAGACCTGGTTTAGGCCTGGTTTAGACCTGGTTTAGTCCTGGTTTAGACCTGGTTTAGACCTGGTTTAGTCTAAATTTAGGCCTGGTTTAGACCTGGTTTAGACCTGGTTTAGTCCTGGTTTAGACCTGGTTTAGACCTGGTTTAGGCCTGGTTTAGGCCTGGTTTAGACTAAGTTTAGGCCTGGTTTAAACCTGGTTTAGACCTGGTTTAGTCCTGGTTTAGACCTGGTTTAGGCCTAGTTTAGACCTGGTTTAGTCCTGGTTTAGACCTGGTTTAGACCTGGTTTAGACCTAGTTTAGACCTGGTTTAGACCTGGTTTAGACCTGGTTTTAGTCCTGGTTTAGTCCTGGTTTAGTCCTGGGTTTAGTCCTGGTTTAGACCTGGTTTAGTCCTGGTTTAGTCCTGGTTTAGACCTGGTTTAGACCTGGTTTAGTCCTGGTTTAGACGTGTTTTGACGTTTTTTTTCACTAAACTACTTCACTACACATTGTTTTGAATTAAAGGTCCTATATTACGCAAAATTGTCCGAGGCTGGCTGAGGTTTTATTCGTGTTGTAATGTTGTTGACTCATCAAAAATGTATCTGGAGTTGTGTTTTCTTTCATTCACACATTTGAGTAATCCTTTATTATTAATCTGAGTACATCTCCAAAGTATGAGGTGGTGGTTTTCAAGTTCACAGCTTTACCTTTTACCTTTTGTTTAGTAAAAATTGGCAATTCCAGGTTTGAAATCATCCAAAAAATGATTCCAGTGAAGGTGTTTGGAGTTTAAATTGAGCCTAAATACGCAGGTTTTGTGTGTTAAATATGTGTGAATTAAACAAAAACACAACTCCAG